CCCTCACCAACAGGATCCCAAGGACTTCTTGTGCTCCTGAGAACAGGGAACCTAGCTGATAAGCACCTTGGTCTTTGATGTCAAGAGAAGCAGACTTTTCTCCACTGTTTGGCCAACACAGCAGGCTTCCCCTTTGATCTCCAAAGAGGACAGGTTTTAACAGTCCTGCTCTCCCACTCCCCCCCCATCCAACTTAAAAAAAAAATACATCTTTCTGCCTTCTGTGGGAAGCAGAAGCCTCCCTTTTAAAAAGACCCCAGCTCAAGACCCAGGCAGACATTTTCCATGCTCAGAAGGGAATCTGTCCCATGTGTTCCTTTGCTAATAAACCCTATTTTGATGGAGTTTTAGCTGTGCCTTGGTTCCTCATCATCTATTTGTTCGTTCTCCGCCAACTTTTTACCTATCATATTTCAACCATTAAAAACAAAGCTCACAGAAAGACAAACCTTCAAGTTCTCATTTATATGTGGAAGCTAAAAAGTTGACCCCATAGAAGTAGAGAGAGCCGTGGTCAGCAGTGCTTAAGAATGTGGGGAGGGAAGATGGAGAGAAGGTGGTTCAGAGATGATGGAGGGCCTGGAGAGATGGCTCAGTGAGTAAAATGCTTACTGGGCAAGTGTGATCTGAATTTGATTTCCCAGAACTCACATGGAAGCTGGATGCGTAGCATGTGTCTGTACTGTGTCTCTTAGTGCTCCTACTGGGATGTGGGAGACAGACAGGAAAATTCCTGGAAGCCCTCAAGACAGCTTAGCCTGGGGTACTCAGAAGAAAAACAATAGAGACCCTGACTCAAAGGAGGGTGGAATGTGGTTACAGACACACCCAAGGTTGTCCTCTGATCTTATGCTGGCTATTTCTTGTTGTTGTCAACTTGATACACCTGGGAAGAAGGAACTTTAATTTCGGAATACCTCTATCAGATCGCCTATGGGCAAGTCTGTGCTGCGTTTTATTGATTGTTGAGTGATGTGGGAGAGCCGAGTCCACTGTGGGTGGTGACACCCCTGGGCACGTGGTCCTAGGTTGTATAAGAAAGCAGGCTGAGCAGGGGCCAGAGGAGCAAGCCAGTAAGCAGCGATCCTCCATGGCCTGTGCTCCAGCTCCTGCCTCCAGGTTCCTGCCCTGACTTTTCTCAAAGATAACCTGTGATCAGGAACTATAATGCAGACAAACCCTTTCCTCCCCAGGTTGGTTTTGGTCAGGGTGTTTATCATAGCAACAGAAAGCAAACTAAGACCCTGGCTGACCCAGCATGGCTCCTTGAGCAAATGAACAGGAGACATCTTTCAAGGGTCACTTTTTCTTTCTTTCT